GAGCAGCTCGTCCTGGAAGCCAATGGGAGGAAGGTGAGACTGGAGAAGATGAGATGTAGGAGACGGGGGCGGAAAGGGCTGCCAGGCAGAGGCAGAGCCAGGGCCTGTGGGCTCCTCTTTTTTTTTCCTCTTTTGGCCGCACTGCACGGCATGCGGGATCTTAGTTCCCCCACCAGGGAATCGAACCCCAGCCCCCTGCGGTGGAAGGGCAGAGTATTAACCATTGGACCACCAGGGCAGCCCCTGGTGTTTTGTTTGTTCATTTCTTACTGTGGGCTCCTTTGCATCCTGCCCTGGATTCCTTCCATCTCCAGCTTGAGGAGATCAGGGCAGAGGGCAAACCACCGGGTCCTAGGTCTTAGAAGTGCCTGCCTTTTGCCCCCAGGTCCTTGGGGGCTTGCCCCTCGTGACATGTGCCCTGCGTCCCACCGGTATCTACGGCGAAGGCCACCAGATCATGAGGGACTTCTACCACCAGGGCCTGCGCCTGGGGGGTCGGCTCTTCCGGGCCATTCCAGCCTCTGTGGAGCATGGCCGGGTCTACGTGGGTGAGGCCCGGGCTAGGCGTTGGGGGAGGCTAAAAAAACAGGGCAGGACCCACATGGTACTGGGGCAAGGGGGTGTTCTATACTCTGGCTAAAAAAGGATGGTCTATACATGGGCCAGAGCAGACTATGATATGTGGGCATCGTCCGCAGGGGCCACAGACAAAACAGTGTCCATGCCAGTTGGGAAGGCTGAGATCGATACTGTGTCATAGGCTGAGGAAAGGGTTGCAGTTTTGTGAGCAGCATCTTCCCAGGAGAGGAGAGGGGGAGCATCTACCCAGGACTAACAGAAGAAGGAGTAGCATCCATATAGGCTGGCCTGGGAGAGTAAATGGCTACAGGGGCCTGGAAGAAAGCAGCCTTCAGCAGGGCCGTAGTTATGTGGGCAGCATCTACATGGGCCCAAGGACGGGGTGGCTTGTCCATGCCCTGGCCCAGAATAGAGCAGTATCTACATGGTTGCAAGGGCATTCAAGGACATATCCGCCCCCGGTTCTCTCGGCACCCCCTCTCCCCCGCTACCCACAGGTAACGTGGCCTGGATGCACGTCCTGGTGGCCCGGGAGCTAGAGCACCGAGCTGCACTCATGGGTGGCCAGGTGTACTTCTGCTATGACAACTCACCCTACAAGAGCTATGAGGACTTCAACATGGAGTTCCTGGGCCCCTGTGGACTCCGGCTGGTGGGCACCCGCCCACTGTTGCCCTACTGGCTGCTGTTGTTTCTGGCTGCCCTCAATGTCCTGCTGCAGTGGCTGCTGCGGCCGCTGCTGCTCTATGCGCCCCTGCTCAACCCCTACACGCTGGCTATGGCCAACACCACCTTCACCGTCAGCACCGACAAGGCTCGGCGCCATTTTGGCTATGAGCCCCTGTTCTCCTGGGAGGAGAGCAGGACCCGCACCATCCGCTGGGTGCAGGCCGTGGAGGGCTCAGCCCAGTGATGGTGGAGCTGGGCCTGGAGGCCAGCATGGCACAGCCATCCAGGTCCAGAGCCCTCAGACCCTGGTGGGGAGGGAGGGCTACATTCTAGAGCCAGAGGAGGAGGGGTCTGGTGCCAGACTGGCTGTCCTAGAGCTCTCCACATTGTAATTCATGAGCCTTGAGCCTGTGTCCTAATAGCCCTCAGCTCTAGGGCAGGGTTTTGGAGCAAGTGTGTCTTCACTCTCAACCCAGGCCTGGCGGCTGGTTGGCGAGGGTCTGATTCCCCTGGCGTTCTCCACGGTCCAATCCATTTCTGGCTTTTCAAGCAGGAAGTGGGTAGAAGTTCCACAGGGCCTCGTGCTGGACCTCGGATATCCAGGTGTGATCCTCAGACCCAGGTTCAGAGTGAAGATGCTTTCTGGCTCCTCCCACCACCTTTGTCCCTCCTTGGGGTTCATAGTCCCATTATTTTAAAACATTTATTACCCTTGGACATTTATCTTTTAATTCTCTTCAACGAAGGCTGAGGAAATCTGTGTATTTTCACCTCTTGCCACCCCTCTACCCAAGTCAGTTCCTGCAGCACTGTTTGATCTCTGCCTGAGGATGCCCCAGTAATGCTGTACCAGTCCAAGCCCTGGATTAAAGCTCCTTCTCCGAGCCCGTGTCCATCCACCTGTCCAGCTCCCACACCCGCCTCCCCCATGTCTCCCACTCCCCACGGCGCCCGTCCCGTGTGGGGACAGAAGGAAGTGAGCACACAGCATGCCCGCTGTTGGATTGGTTGCTATTTCTCCCGTCCCACGGGGCCCGACCCGGCCCGGGGTGGGGGTGAGGGGCTCTGGGGACAGGACAGGACATGCAGGGCTGGGAGGGGGGCAGAATTTTCCTGTGTTTTATCCATTTGCAACTTGGTCACCAATAGAGAGAAATGGGACTCTGAGGGCTAACAGGAGAGGGTGGCCTGGCTCTGGGCCCCCAGCCAGGCCCCAGGAGTCCTGTTCCCTCTGGGGAGGAGAGGGAAAGAGCTCTAGAAACCAACGGAGAAACAGAAGGGGCAGGGGCTCATGTCAGCAAACACGGCTATATCACGTGACACGCCAGCGACACAGAAACGCCAACGCACACGGCTGCACAGCAGGCGGGGTGGGGGAGGAGAGAGCCGGGGGCCACCCATCTTGTCCTCTGCGGGGCAGGCTGGGAATGGGGCAGGGTGAATGCATAGAACACATCATGTACGCACGCTCGAGGCGTGGCAAGAGCGTGCATCAACCCACAGGCACATGGGACAGACACGCAGTGTGCTTTGTGAGAGGCAGGGGGAGGGAGAAAGGGGGAGGGGAAGCAGCGAGCCCTGGCCAGGTCCGGGACCACCCACGGGCACACAGGGGCTTGATGGTTGTAGGTGCTTGGCGGGCGGGCAGCACACACTGTCTGAGAACATGCAAAAGACACCAGCCCCCAGACAACATTCCAGGACACATACAGACACAGCAGCCAACAAGCAAACACATCATGTGATGTGTGGGACTTAGAGAAGCTGGGGCAGAACAGACCCTCAGGGATGCTCTGGTCCATCTGAGGCCCAGAGATGGGCAGCTACGGGCCTAATACCAGTCAATGAGGCAGTTGCATCACTCCAGCCATGGCTCCACCCTTCTCCTTGTGGCCCCAAGGCTGTGGGAATTCCCGAAACGCCTGGTATGAAAGGGTATCCTGGCTGGACCGCAGGAAGGAAAAAGGCTGGGGTGGGGGGTGCTGGGGCCTGCTCTGACGTCCCCAAAGAAGCCTGAGTGGGAGCAGGAGGGCTGAAGTCAGATACCGGGGCAAACTTCCCGTCCTGACAAAGGGCACTGTGGGAACAGACAGCCCACCTTGGGGTTTACATATATATATATATATATATACATATATATATATATATATATATATTGGCCACACACAGGCAGGGCCCAGCCAGGTAGGGAAGAGGTTGGCTATCTGAGCTGGGGTGGGAGTGGGGTACTATGTTCCAGAAGGTCGCATCTGCACTGTCTCTCTCTCACACATACACGCTTCACATGAAGAGGGACTCCAGGAAACGATCTGCACACACACCAAAGTACTCCACCCTGTGCACACGGATGTCGGACCCCAAGGCAGGGTGCATTCCTGTACTTGTGTGTTCAATCCTGTATATGTGGGTCCGCGTTCCTGGGCCAGTGGAGTGGGAGGCTTCTAACACTGTCCTTTGCCCACATACCTCCCACCTGCCACCCAACGCACAAACCCACTCATGCATGTGTTGTCTACGCAACAAGGGAGGAGCTGGCCTCTTCCTCACCATCAGAAACTCAGGCCCGTGTCCCACCCTCAGTCTCAGCCTGCAGGGGAACAGATATTGGTGACATTTCAGCAGGAGATGTGTCCAGGGCATGGGCCCCAGGACTTAGCCCACTCCAGTACGTTGGAAATAAACAGTTCCCTAAATCCAAGGTTCCTGAGGCAAAGGCCAGAGCATCAGATGGGGCGGTGGGGACCATCGCTGGCCTCTCAGTTCTGAGGTTAGTGCTCAAGAAGCTTATTTCTGAGAGCCTGGGGCAGCCCTTGACATTCCCGTGATCAGTAATGTTTCCCATCAATAGCCCTTCCGGGAGGCATTCATGTGCAAACGAGTGCCCGCCTGAACAGGCACCGTGCCAGCGCCAGCGTCCGCATACGCCGGCCCCTGTGTGCATGTGTGTGCCTGGGTGTGGCCTCATCTGCCGGGGCGGGTGGGAGCACACTGAGGTGTCCCGGCTTCCACATGTACAGGCCTATCTGACCGAGAAAGATAAGCACGTGGGCATGTATGCACAGGGGATCCAACCACGCAGGGCAGGAAGCTGCAGTTGCACGATGTTGATGTAGCAGTGTGTGGCCACACCAGATAGCGGCCAGCAGCTCTGGGGAGAAAGGGAGGGGGCAAATAATCTGGATAGACAAACCTGGATGGGGCACAGGTCCTTGAAGGTAAACGTGTGTGTATAATACACAGGGGGGTAGAAACACACTACGTAGAAATCCTCTACACACACACACACACACACACACACACACACTCGCGCAGGCGTACTCTAGATAGCGTAGAAATATAGATTTCTGTGCCCACCCAAAACAGATGTCCAGTGCAAGATGTGGAGGGCTCTGTCTCAGGAGAAGACCTACTGACACTTCAGGCACATCCTAGACACACACACACACACACAAACACGTCCCTCACATCACCTATTGGGGGAAATGCACATGGATATACAGGCCAAGCTAGGTTATTGACACGTGTATTCTTCCACTCGCCTCGACTGAACTCCACACACACACACACACACATGTTCCCCAGGACATGTCAGTCCCGGGGTGACTAAGCCAGGAGGGTTTGCTCAACATCACGCTGGGGTGTCTGCCATGGCCTGTGTGTGTATTGTGCCTGGATCCTCTGGGAATGTTGGTGTGAGCCTCTGTACACTCACAACCTGCCACATCTGTAGCAGACATGGGGGAGGGGGGGTGTCAGTGGAGGAGGTGCTGTTACATTGGATTTAAACACTCAAACACAAAATTCCATGTAGGCAAACTGTGTGTCCACGGATCTGTGGCGCCACACACACACAGACACACACACACACACCAATTCACAGAAGACAGAAGAGTGGGGCTTGATGGCTGCTGTGTCACACCCAGCCACAGTCTACACAACAACCCAGGGGAAGGGGGAAAGCTCAGACGACACACAGACTTGAGGTGGGGGGCAGAAAGGGCGATTTGGTGCTTCTACACACATCTACACACGTACACACACACACATGCTGGGGAGTCCACACGTCTCGAGCATGTGCCGGCGGCATGCATGTTGGTGTGCACGTGTAATCACGCCTGCTGCTATCTACGTGCGGGGTCGGGGGGTGGTCCATGGCGGGGGGAGGTCCAGGGACTCCAGGGTCTGACAGGCGGTAAAGGTTGCAGGTGCTGCCCGGGTCTGTCTTGAGGGTGAGCCTGGAGCAGGGGATGGAGTGAAGGGGTGGTGGGGGTATTGCTCCCGATGTGGTGGGGAAGGGTCTGGGACGGACAGGGGTGGGGGGCCTACAAGCCCAGCGTCCCCCCAATGGATGACGCCAAGACCACCCCCAGCACCACACAGCAAATGATGATCATGATTTTCTTCTGCAGGCAGGAAGGGCGATAGGAAGGGAGGAGACAGAGACAGAGGGGTAAAGAGACAGACAAACGACAGACAGACGGGGAGGAGGGTGTGAGGGAGAGAAAACAGAAAAAGGAAGAGGTCAGAACCAGAGATAAGGCCTCTTGCGGGATTTCATCACTCACCTCAGCCCTGGCCTGAGCCCAGCCCCGCCCGCTCGGCTCCAGCCCACCTGCTCCACAGGCCCCCCTGCCCCGGCTCACCCTCCGGGCCTTGCTCTGATATTTCACAGCTTTCTTGGTGTCAGACACGGCTCGCTCCACGTAGTCCACGGAATGTTCCACGTTGTACTCAATGCGGTCAATCATTTCGCCCTGCAGAGGATACATGCATAGGATGAGGTGGGAGCTGGGCTGGAAGAGGGGATCCCGGGGACCCGGGTGAGGTTCCCCGAGGGCTGTGGCAGAGGCAGTACCTGGCTCTCCACAAGCATGGCCATGTCCACAAACATGTCGTGCAGCTCACGGATGCTGGTTTCCAGTTTGATGATCTCGTTGTGCCTTGTCTCGATTTCATTCAGCGCCTGCTTTGTCATCTGTGAGTCCATTTTGATCTAGGGTGAAAGGGGAGGGGCGGGGGGAAGAGGGAGGAGAGCTGCAGACCACCCTTCACTCCCGGAAGAGCTTGGATTCTGCAGCCAGAGCGTCTGGGTTCGAACCTGGCTGGTGTTTACTAGCTGTAACCATGGGCAAATTGTTTAACCTCTTCAGGCCTCAGTTTCCCCACCCAGAAAATGCAGATACTTCACACCTCACAAGGTTGTGCGAAGACTAAGTGAATGACTATGTGTGTATCAATTAGAATAGTACCTGGCACACAGGAAGCACTAAAGAGACGTCTGTTAAATTACAAGAAGGAAAACTTGCCCTGAGCCCGCCATCTCAGCCCAGGGCTGTCTCTATCACACACACCAGGGAGGCCCTGGGAAGGGAGACAGGGGTCCTGGACCCCTGTCAGGATTGGGGGACACCGTCTGGTCAAAGGCAGACAGGATAATGGAAGGGGACACAGTAGAGAGTGGAAGCAGAAAAGGAGGCCCAGATGAGAAGACAGTGTGCCCTGGAGCCCCCATGATATGGGCCGGGGGAGAGATAATAAGGAAATGCTCTGCAGCCCTCAAGAGTCAGTGGGAGAGACTCTAACCCATAGTCAGATATATCTCCTCCCCACGGAAGCCAGACCACTCACTGTTTAGACCACATCCAGACACTCTTCTGCTCTAAAGCCCTCCGAGGCTCCCCACCACCCACAGGCTACACACCTTGACCTTAGCAGTCAAGGCCCCATCTCCCTTTCTGTCCTCACCTCCCCAAATCCTAAGAGCCCAAATCATCCAATGGCTCTTTGGCAAGTGGTCCACTCTCTCTGTTTTTGTTCAGTCTGTCCCCTTTTTCTGGAATGTCCTCTGCCCATCTCCCCGTGTCCAAATGCTCCCTGTCTCTTAAGGCACACAACTCAATGCCACCTCCCCCAGGAAGCCTTTCCCGGCCCTAGAAGTTAACTATGACCGTAGGGCCTGTCTGCATCTTGTTCAGCCCTCGGGCAAGGTACCGACCACCCTGCATCGTAATGATGGCGGGTTAACTGGCAGGGATCAGCTCTATCCCCTTAGAACCCCTCACCAGGTTTCCCGCCACTCTCAGACAGACTGACAGCCTGGGCAGAGCTGTTTGGGAGGGCTCCGGGCTAACTGGCCCATTATCAATTTGCTCAAAGCTAATTTAACAAAGATCAATTCTCTAAATAGCAATTTGCTGAAAACTGCTAGACGGTCATTGAACGTACTTTAACGCTGGTCTAGAAACCTAAACCAGAGTCATTCTGCCACCAGAAGCTGAAAGGGAGATAGAACCTGTCAGCCAGGGCGAAAGTCAAGAAAGAGAAAGAAGAACTACAGTTGGGGAAAGCCCATCTCTTTCACATATAAGATGACAAGCGCAGGGCAGTGTGCCAAACTTCAGCAAAACTAAAACTGATTTTTTAGAAAACCTTCAAAACGTAGGCAAATTAGTCACTTGGTGAAATGAGCCACATCACTAGGGAGAAGTGTATCTTAGCACTTAGCACTGAAGAGTCCTGACTGTGGGTTCAGATCCTTGCTCTGCCTGTAGCTGTGTGACCTCGGCAAGTCATTTAACCTTTCTGGATCAGGTTACCTCATCTGTGAAACACGACTCCCTCAGAGGCTTGTGGCGAGGATTAAATGAGTTTAGTAGGTAAATGTGCTTAGAACGGGGCCTGGCACCTTACTGTTTGCCATTTTTATGAGGGTACTTCCTGCTCTGCCCCCATGGAATTCCCCAGTTCCAGGTTCAGACTTCCTGATGTTTGTTATTTCACGGCGGACTTAGGACCTTGAGTTCAGCCTACGCTTGGGAAGGAAAGGCGAATGCTTTCCAAAAACAGACCCCACCCCCACGCGGGGCTTACATCGTCAGTGAAGATGGCCAACTTCCCACTCTCCAGCATGTCTTCCAGTTCTTCGTTGGTCGTGGTCCTTCCAGCTGTGGGGAGAAACGACTCGCTGCTCAGCGACTGGGCCAGCCTGGACACCTAAGGTGGTGGGATGTGGCAGGGACCCGGGAGCCCACCCTCCCATCCGGCCTCAGGCCACGAGTCCCCTCCACGGAGGGGAAGGGCCTGGAAGGAGTATGGGACAGGTCTGGGGAGTTTGCGGGGGAGAGATGTCACACGCACTGATCTCCAGCTGCCTCTGGATCCGGTCCTTGCAGCGGTCGCGGTACTTGGACTGGGTCGCGTTATATTCAGTCATTACCTCCACGAACTTCCGGGAGAGTGTGGAGTGCTGTGGTGGGGGGTACAGACACATCAGGAGGCAGGGAGCAGAGACCGTGGAGGGATGGAGTGGGCGGGAGGGGCTGAGTTAGCCTACGGCCCCTTCTTCAGCTCATGCCACGATCCCAAGCCCTCGCAAGTGTGCAGTCCCATACCCCAGCACCCCCATCCTACGCCCAAGCCAGCCAAGGCCGGGCTAGGGCACTGAGATGTAGCCGGGTTCCGACCTCCGCTGTAGTCCCGCCCCAAGCCCCGCCCCTGCCCAGGCTCCCCCTTGGCCACGCCCCACGCTAGTGCCTGCTCTGGCCCGCCCACGCCCAACAGGCAGGGCTCCAGCCTGGGCCCCTCCCCTGTCCGGTCCAGTGCGGTTTGGTCCCGGCCCCGACCCTGACCGTGCCTGACCGCTGCCTCCTACCTGGGTCTTGCGGATGCGCAGGTCCGCAGAGGAACGATTCAGCCCCTCCTCCTGTTCAATGCTTTGCTCGATCGCTGCGGGAGAGAGGACGCAGTGACGGGAGGGCGAGAGACCCGGCGCATGTGGGGCGGGGGTCTGGGACATATGAAGGGTGGACACCCCGAGGCAGGCCCCCCAGGCCCGTGAACAGATGTCACACCCAGGCGAGGGCAGACAGTAAAGAGTCTAGGGTGGGGAGGCAGGAGGCCAGCGGGTAAAGGGACCAATGTTTCAGGGGGCCTGGAAACCAGGTAGGAGGGGATATTGAGGGTCAGTCGGTCACCAGACAGAAGGGGGCTATTTGTTCTGGTGGAAGGATTGCGTCTTGGAAAGTCCCACAGCTGTAACTCCTGCCCAGCCCCTCAGTCCACATCCCCTGTATGGGGGGCGGGAGAACTCTCTGCTTTTTGCAGCCTCAGAAAAGGGTCAGGAACCCACCCTGGGATTTATCTGGTAGAGGGCAAGCACTTTCAAGTGGGTCAGGTTCTAGTGGCTGCCCTTTCCTTGGAAAATTCTAGGGTAAGTGGATGGATGTTCCAACAGAGAAAATAGCTCCCCCCGCCTTACAAAGTGATCCCTGTCCCAGGAATCCCCACTTCTAAAGGATGTTCTGGAAAAGCACACAGATTAACTGGGATTACTGCTTCTAGATCATGCACTCCCCACACTTACTTAGATTTTCTAAAAAAGAGCTTGAGGGTAAGATCTACTGTGCTCGGAAAATGCAGCAGGGATGAATCACCAGGCCCTCTCAGACCTGGAAGAGCCTCCAGGCCACTCCCAAGAACATTGCTTCTCCGTTCCTGGCAGCGGTGGAGGTATGGTGCTGGATGGCACCCCAACGCTCCCCCGCCAGCGATGGCGGGACAGGGACTGAGCGACAGCTCTGGCCCAGCTGTTATGGGAAAAGTCCAGAAACACACACCCAGGAATGTTGGAATCTCTGGCTCAGACTGGGACCCTGTTGTCAGACTTGGGGCTGGGGCCAAGCCCAGGAGGAAGGGATCCTTTAAAGGGTCTTATTGACTTCTTACAGTAATCCTGGGAGTTCAGTCCAGGTTTCAGACTAGAAACTGAGGTTGAAATAGAGAAAACAACTCATTCAAGGTCACACACAATGCCGGAGCTCATGCCACCACAGAGCTCGAGAAAGATGGAGAAGATGATCTCTCTTTTTCTGGAGCTCTGGAGGGTCAGCTCCTCTGAGCCACTGCCACTTTTCCTAGCTTCTTTCTTGGTCTATTCCTGAACTCCTAAACCATACAGCCCTCCTCATGGTCTTATGAAGAGTGTTAATGTCAGAGCTCAATGGGCTCAAAGAGATTGCTGAGCCCAGGGATTTTTCAACTTGTGTCCCACAGAACCCTGCTTCTGAGAAGGAACCTCAGAGGGGTCTGTTGCTGGGGGTGATGAGGAGGCTAGGCAGGTAGGGCTCTGGGTCTCCCAACCCCAGGTCAGCCAGAACAGCTTGACTTTTATGTGTTGTATGTATTGGAATTTGGGGTAAGATTTCACTTGGGAAAAAAAGATTTTGCTACCAAAAAACAAAAACCAACAACAAAAACATCTGGCTTTGAAATTGCTTTAGTAGTTCTTACTGTACTGATGAGGGACTGAGGGTAGGGTACTTGTCCAGAATGAGCTGGTGATGGAAGTGGGCTCCCTCTGTCTGGATTTGCAATCAGTGTGCTCCCAGTTTGGATCATTTTGCTTTCTAGCACGCTCTCCTGAGTGCAAAGGGCTTACAGATCAGCACTGGAGGCTCACATATGGCCTCCTGTTGAGTCCAGGAGGGCACGGAGTCCCTGTCCTCATCCCTCTGGACCAAGGTCATTGCGCTCGGGGCCAGGCATCTGACATGACTCCTTTCCCCCAAAGCCCAGCAATGTGCCTCAACGTGCTCGGCAAATGTTTTCTGATGCTGAATTACCATGAGCATACAAATTAGCATCATGGTAACACTGCTATTCCCCTGGCACCAGCAGACAAGGAGGTTCCCAACCCACAGTGATTTGGGGGAAGGTGGTTATTACCAGCGCCCAAGTCCTTAAATTAGAGTGAATACATGAGCATTTGGCAAGTCCCTCCTGAAAGTTTGCCAGGCCCTGATGTCAGCCACACAGTCCAATCTGTCCCGCGCTAAGGATACCAATTCAGAAGCATTTGCTGAGCCCACCTACTGGGTGCTTAGCGCTATGTCCGGCAACTGTTCTGGAGAAATGAGGCCTTCGTGAAATTAAACCCACCTGGAAGACTGTATTTTCCTGGTGGACCTTCCTGCTGATGGAGCCAGCAGAGCTCAGATGCAATTTGGACAGAAAGCCTCCTCTCTGTGATTTCCCTGTCATGTCTATATCTTTCTCCAAGGCATCTGGAGCAAGCTGGGAAATGTCGGGTTTTATGCTTTCTCAGTGTTTAGGAATCTGGCTCCTGGAAGCCTGCAGACACTCCTCATAGAGAGGCCTGTTTAGTCCAATGGAGGGCAGAGTTTTCTTCCTCCTTAGGCAGGGGATGGCATTCCTTACCTTTCAACTTGGATCGAACCTTGTTGGCCGTCTTCTTGATGTCTGCAGTGAGGTCCTCCAGCTCCTGTTTGGTCTCTGAGGGGAGGTGAGGGGCGGGTGAGACGTCTGGGTGGGACCCCAGACTCCTGCCCGCAGCCCCCAGCCACCCGGCAGCAGCACTTACTCTCATCCGGGTTGGGGGCGGCCAGGATGGCACTATGCTGTTTTTTCACTTGTTCCACATCCTCTGACAGCTTCTCAATGCAGCCCCGGATCTCTTCCACCTGGGGCAGCAAATCGGCTATACCCAGCCAAGTCGTCGGGCCAGACAAAGGGATTCAGGGGGCTCAGTCAGGGTTCAGGGAAACGGGCCAGACCCAGAGGGGTTGGTAAAAGGCCAAGGGGATGGAGGAGTAGAGAGCAGGGTGGGGGCCGGGGGCCGGGGAGAAGGAAGTTGTTGGCTGGGGGCTAGGTTCTGTTACCTGTTCAAAGAACTCATCCATGAAGTGGTCCCGGTCCACATGGACCACCTCCTCCTCATCATCGCTGTCTTTCGCCTGGGAGGCAAAGAAAGGCAGTCTGTGCGCAATCCCGATGCTCCCAGCTCTGGGCTCAGAGCGGGGGTCCTGGGAAGGGTCACATGCAGGGGGCCGGGGCACCAAGCAGTCACAACGAATCCTGGGTGTCTTGTGGCACAGAGTCCCGGAGGCCGGGTACCTGACAGCCCAAAGGACACCTTGGAGGGAATTAGCCAAAGGCACCGTTTCAAGGGTAGACGTGGTCCTGTGAGTGCAGTCACCCTGGAGGCGGGTGGCACACTGGACAGATGCTTTAACCAACCAGTATGGAAGTATTTCGATATTGTAGCAACCAGCTAAATGTCAGCCTTGCGGTAATTGGCTCTGGGCTGCGAGAAGGGGTCTGGAATAGCGTCCCAGGAGCCTGACCCCCCCTCCACCATCCCCCCAGCCGCTCCTGCCAGGCTTCAATTTGCTCCCTTCTCTTCCCCTCCAGCCTCCAACGCGACCAGCCACGTCCCCTAGTCCCCTATGCAAGGTCACTTCACTGCCAGCGGCAGGCGCCGAGTTAAGCAAGCAGTCGGCCAGGGGAGGGCTGGATGAGAGACACAGTCAGCACCCCGACCTCCCTCCTCCCCCCCACTCTCTTCCCCTCCGCCCACTCTCCTCCGTGTATTCACTTGCTTTCATCCAGCCTCTTCCAACTTCACACCCACCTACTCTCACTTGCTTGGATTTCCCAGTTGCAAAACCTGCAGCTGCTCAGCCCTCCACCCCCGGGGCTCAGAGACACAAGGGACTTACCCACCCGCACTGCCACTGCCGCCACCAGACGGGCCAGTGACATAGACAGAAGGGCTGACACACAAGGCACACAGAAATAGGCCCACTGACACCCACACAGACCCACAGCAAAGCTGCCTGCCGACACATGTGGACACACAGACGTGCAGCGGTCCCTCTGCCCCCAGGGACATTCGGGAGGGCCCTCTGGGGCTCTTCTCCCAGTCTCTCTGAGCATCCGGTCTGCACAGTCACTCAGAGCTGGGAAGGAGGAAGGGGGTTAGGAAGGGCTCCCCAGTGCTCCAAACTCCAGTCTCAAGACTCTGCTCGGGACAGAAGTCTGAGGGCAAAAGCTGAGCGCATCAAGCTTAATTACATCTGGGGCCCTAATCAGCCTCCACAGAAACTTAAAACAGTTCACCCTGGGCTTCCCTGGTGGCGCAGTGGTTGAGAGTCCGCCTGCCGATGCAGGGGACACGGGTTCGTGCCCCGGTCCGGGAAGATCCCACATGCTGCGGAGCGGCTGTGCCCGTGAGCCATGGCCGCTGAGCCTGCGCGTCCGGAGCCTGTGCTCCGCAACAGGAGAGGCCACAGCGGTGAGAGGCCCGCGTACCGCAAACAAACAAACAAACAAACAAAACAGTTCACCTTGATTTCCAGAAAAAACCGAGCCAAAACTCAGACAGAATCTCATGGCCAGAGCCTGAATGAAATCAAGATGGGATCCACACAGCGTCTAGCGGGGGGTATTGCCATTTGGGATCTAAAGAGAAGAGCTTGCACAGGGCCTCGACAAGATCGCAGACAGGACCTGACAGAAACCAGACAGCTCAGACCGAACCAGACTCCGCGCAGACTGATGGCAGACAGCTCAGATCGAACCTAGACTGGGCCAGATGGGACCTAGATGTGATCTAGACAGCGAAGTGAACTTGGAATCAGAGAGGTCCGACAGCACCCCGAGGAACCGTGAGCTCAGAGACGTCCAGCTGGACCCTCTCGAAGGTACCCCAGCTTCCCACCCAAGCCCGGCTCAGATGGTCCCCAGGGATCCTCCCCTCACCATGTTGGGGAATACTTTCAGCACTTCCATTTAAGCTCCAAATATCTCCCAGGAAAGGGAGGCTCTTCTTTCTCTGCCCAACAGTAAGACATGCCAGGCTGCAAGGAAGAGCCCAGACAGGAAGCCAGCTGTTCTAGCCTCCATTTGAGCTGCCCCCAGAAGGAGGGGTGGTACCAGGTGGGGCTTGGCGACCCTGATGGGACTTCTGGCTTCTCAAGCTTCCACCTGACCCGGAACCACACCAACAGACCTTGGCTCCATGAGGCTCTGGGATGCTCGGCTCATCTCTGAGGACCCACCGGCCTCCCATGATGTTCTATCCTCAAAAAGCCAGTTGCCTCACGAGATTCCCCTTCCCCTAGAGCCAAGCTGCAGCTGCTCAGCCCTCCACCCCCCAGGGCTCAGAGACACACAAGGGATTTACCCACCCACACCACCACCGCCGCCTCTGTCCCTTCTCTGCCTTCAAGCACTTGGCCCTCAGCTTGGCTGCCCACAGGTCATGAGGCCTCTCGCTGGCCCAGGTATCTGGGAACTTTTCCTGTTCTCTCTTTCCCCTCCCCAGGCTGACTTTAGACTTCCTCAAGTCTCATTTCTCTCCCTCTCTCCTTTGGTTCCCAGGGCCAGATCCCTGATTCTGCCCTGGGGCGTCCCTGGCTGCCTGTTTACTTGCCCTTGAGAGAGGAAGAAAGGTAGAGTGCCCAAGGATGACTTAGTTGGTGTAATAATTACAGACAGCTGACAGCTAAAGTCCTCTCCAGTTGACAGACACTTTTACATCTATAATCTCTTCTGATCCTCACTACCATAGCCCTCGAGAAAAGCTGTCCCCATTTTAAGATGAGGGGAACAGGAGGTCTGAGGGGGAAGAGGAAATGGACTTGCTCAAGGGCACCCAGGCTGAAAGGGGCCAGGAAATCAGAGACATCTAAGACATGCCTCCTCCCATAGCCCCTCCTTTCTTTCTTTCTTTCTTTCTTTTTTTTTTCTCTTTGGCCTCACTGTGCAGCATGCGGGATCTTAGTTCCCTGACCAGGGACAAACCTGTGTCCCCTGCATTGGAAGCGTGGAGTCTTAACCACTGGACCACCAGGGAATTCCCTCCCATAGTCCCTTCTGAGGCTTGAGACCAGGCTGCCTCCTACTGGCCACTCTGCCACCAGAGATTTCCCTTCTCAGGTCCCCTCCTGACAAGGCACAATCTGGGCGAGGCTCTGCGCCCCGAAAACCTAGCAAAATACTAGCGTGTGATAGCACCTCTGGCCTAGGTCTTGCATTCTTGTTATCTCATTTAATCTTCATTAAAACTCTGTAAGGATCATTGGTCAACATAACTGTAATTGTGGAAAACATTTACACAGCATTTGATAACGTGCTGGGCACGGTTCTAAAGCATACTGCGTTTATCCATTTCATTCTTACAATAGCTGCCTTTTATAGGTAGGGAAACTGAGTCACAGAGAGGCTAACGAGCTTGCCCAGGTGAGCAGCTGGAAGGCCACACGCCTTCTTCCCTCTGAGTTTCAGTCTCTGCATTTGCTGAATGGCGAGAAAGTCCTCCCTAAATGGTGGGCAGAAGGAGCCAGTGAGACGAGGCAGTAAAAATGCCTGATGCTGCCTGAGAGAATAAGTGCTCAGAGAGGCTTGGCTGTTACCCACTGCCTCCCCCATGTTACAGATGAGGAAACCGCTTCAGAGAGGTTGTCTGACCCTGCCTAAGGCTTCACAGGAAATAAGGCCAGAGGTGGGACCTGAATTGTCCTGGTGCTAAATCTCAGGCTCTTTCCCTTCTGTCTCTCTATTCCTTCCTGGCCCCTAAAGAGTCTGCTCTGCTGTGTCCTCAGTACCACTGAACTCCTGTGGCTGGGACAGAAAACCAGTAAGACGTGCCAGGCTGCAAGGAAGAGCCCAGACAGGAAGCCAGCTGTTGTAGCCTCCATTTGACTTGCTGTGTGACTCTCAGACCCTCTCTGGGCCCCGGCTTATCTGTGAAATGGGTGGGCCCTCCCTGCTCTGAGGTGTGTGTTTCATAATGAGCACGGCCTCCATTTCTGGAAGAAGCTGGCCAGACTAAAAGAAAACAGGCTGAGGGCAAATGAGACTACCTCAGAAAAGATGACCAAATGTGCTCCCATCCACTATATGGACAATTCAAGCCTCAGTTTCCTCCTGTGCGAAATGAAGAAAGTAAGAATCATATATACCCAACAAGTAGGTAGCAATTACCATGCGTCGGGCTCTGTTACAAGTGCTTTGCATTTCTCGTTTAATCCTTACAGCCACTCACTCCATGAAGTAGATACTATTCTTATTCCCATCTGATGGATGAGGCAGAGAGAGATTAAGTAATTTGCCTATGATCATACGCTGATGGGGTGCTGACACAATGGCGCTGGGTTGGAACCCAGGCACGCTGCTCTTTACGGATTGGCAGCTCCTCAAGCTCAGGAGGATGAAATGGGAGACCGTGGAGGCCCTGGGCACCTTCTGGAACCGCCTTGAGGAGAGGGGGCATCAGATCCAAGCCTCTAGCTTCAGTCCTTCCCCATCAGAGACACCGGAGGTCTTCATAGGAGTGTCAGTGGCAGGGAGACAACATAGACAGATGCGTGGATGGAGGGAGTGGGACAACGTGAGCCAGGAAGTCAACAGAGACAAACGAGAGGGTGACTAAAACAGAGGTGGAAAGAGACTGGAATTGGGTGATAGAAAAGTCAGAGTGGGCACTTCCCTGGCAGTCCAGTGGTTGGGAATCCATGCTTCCAATGCAGCGTCTGCGGGTTTGATCCCTGGTAGGGGAAATAAGATCCCAGCATGCCGCGTGGTGTGGCCAAAAAGAAAAAAGTTACAGAGTATATGTGTGTGTGTGTGTGTGTGTGTGTGTGTGTGTGTGTGTGTAAATACATATGCATGCCCACGCATACAACACACACGTGCTGACACCTGCTTCTCAGGGGCATGAGCATCCTTTGATCTAGAGGCAGCAGCCTCTCTCCACCGCACCCCCTGCTTCTGTCCATCTGTCTCCCTGACCCAGGCCTCTGCGCACTCCCAGCATCCAGCCCAGTCCTCCCATCCCAACCTCTCTCCTCCGCCCTCCCTGCCTTCCCCGACCGACTCCCTTCCTCACCCTCCCTCTGCCCCACTGAGCCCTTCAGTCATCTGACAAATATCTCTGATCGGTGTCCAGTTCTCTTCTGGGTGCTGCGGAGAATACAATGGTGAACAAGACAGGAAGGGGTCCTGCCTCCAAGGAGCTGACATTCCAGGGGAGGGAGACAGACAATGGAAAATGAACAAGACAATTTCAGATGGTGCTACTTAGCAAGAGGGAGATAAAGCAGGAGGTGTGATAGAGAGAAATGGGCATCAGGGAGGGCCTTTCGGGAGGGCCTTGACATCTGAGCTAAGGCCTGAGGAGTTAACTGCACCACAATCTGGAGCACACAGAATTCAAGGCAGAGGGAACAGTGTCCAGGCAGAGAGAACAGCATTCAGAGGCACCAGCAAGTGCAAAGGCCCTCAAGCAGGGGGAACGTGATGTGTCTGAATGGCAGAAACAAGCCCCACGCAGCTGGGGGATACCAGCCCATCACCCAGGGTTCTCCTGGTCCGTGCCCGCTCTCCTCAAACAGGAGGCCGCCCTTTCCTTCTGCTTCAGGTCTGCATTTCTAAAGTGCCTATTGTGCCTATCCCATACCTAAGGGCTACACCTGGGACCCAGTCCCTGCCCTCAGGGTGCATGACTTGTCCTAGAACAGCCGCCCTCAAATTCCAGCCTCCCTCACCTCAGGTCTCCCCCCACCCACTTCCCAGTCTCCCATCCACCCCCACCCCCGCCTTCCCACTCCACAGCTGCCTCTCAGGCTCCGGCCCACAACACGTCCCCTTGTGGCTTCTCTCTCCCCGCAACCTTCCTCTCCACCTCACTTGCTCCCTTGCTCTCCTCTTCAGCCCCATCCCTGGACCCATTTCTTGGATGCTGGGACACCCATCCAGCCAACTGACTCCCCGTCGCAGCCTCCACTCCAGCCCAGTGCCTCCCAGTTGCTGACCGAAGGTGCCTGGTGAACTGGAAACAGAAAACCCTGGTTCAACGCTGGCTCCACCATTAACAGCTGTATGACCTTGGGCAAGTCAGGTTACCGCTGTGGCCCTCAATTTACTCCAATAAATTAGGGGTCCCATCTTGCCCATCTCAGGGGGCTGATGTGAGACTCAAGAGAAATGAATGAGTCAGCTGTGGAATAACAAACACTCATGGAGCAATGCTGAGCACGAGGCCTCTTTCTAGGCGCTTCCAGCATAATTTCAAGCCTCAGGACAGCCATCTGAAGCAGGTCCCGTTATTACTCCCAATTCACACATGAAGAAAGTGAGGACCAGAGAGGTTAAGCAACTTACCCAAGGTCACACAGGAAGTAGCAAAGCTAGGATTTGAACCCAGACAGTCTGACTCCCAAATCTGTGCCCTTGACAGCTATGTGATGAACAGATGTGAGAACCCCTTGGGAACTCAAAGTACTGTTGAAAAAAGACAATCAGGCCCCCTGGGCTGACATCCCCGCCCATCACTGCCTTTCCTTCCCTCTCAGCTTCTCAGAGACCCCTTTCCCAGGCCTCCCACACCCTGCCTAGTCTCTCCTGCCTCCCAGCCTCCTCATTCTCAACTCTGGCAGGGAGACCCCCGTACTCCCTGTATCTGGAAGCTTTTTTTCCGCCCCACACATGCCCTCCCAAATCTCCAGTTTCCCTAAGCCATGACTAACACCAGAGCCATCAGCATTCACTCAGCCCCCTCTGCCCCTCCACCCCACCTCCCACCTCCCCCATCTGCTGCCCCCAGCAGCCCCAGCAGACAGGATTCCTCCCCTCTGGGCAGGGGGTCCCTGATCCACTCAGATGAGAACTCCCAGCCCCTGCCTTCCCTGCACCCCTGTCTTCGCCTTTTCCCTCCCCCTCTCTCTAATCACACCACAATTCCACCACCACCTCACCCTGACCCACTTTCCATTTCTTGGGATTTTGGAGTCATGGCATAGTCTTGGCAGCAGTGGATCTGGGTTCAAATCCGGACTACTCACTTGCTAGCTGTGTGACCTTGGGCAAGTTTCAACCACTGGGCCTCAGTTTCCTTCACTATAAAATGAAGTAGTCGCCCAGTCTCCCTACCTTACCAGGTGAGGGTCTAATGAGATTATGGATGGCAACCTGCTTTGGATGAAAACGGGGACAGAAAGGGAGTTAAGAGCACCAACACTGGAGTCAGCCTGCCTGCTTGCCTTTAATTAGCTGTGTGACTTTGGTCAAGTTACTTAACCTCTCTGGGCCTCGGTTTTCCTATCTATAAAATGGGATAATACTAGTACCAGTCTCCTACGGTTGCTGTGAGGAGCGAAATGAGTGTATAAAACACTTAGAACTGTCTGGCACATGAGTGTTGGTTATTTTTATCACCGTCATTTTCCTGATGCCTAAGCGTATATTCACTCAAAGTTTAATTTAAAAAAATAAACCTTCAAAATTCCCTCCCCCAACCACCAGTTCCTCCTTCCTTCCCACCTGCCAACCCACCTCTCCCAGAGACAACAGTCACTTGCCTCTAAGCCCCTTCCTCTTGTCTTTCTGCGAGCAGGTTCCCCACCCCCAAATCCAGGGGGCTCTCCAAAGACAGAGCTTTTTACCCCCAGTATCGAGACTTCTCTTTCAAAGGCTAAAAAAGCAGAGACGCATATCAACTTTGCAGATGGGGAAACCCAGATTCCTGTCTGATGTTCCCAGCCACTTGCTTGGTGACCTTGGGCAAGTTCCTGCCCATTGCTGAACCTCAATCTCCTCATCTGTCAAATGGGATAACAACCCCAGGGTAATAACCAATAGGCTCCTGGTGAAGTGTGTCAGGCTTACATCAGTTGGGTCTAGTACTTTATTAACATAACCCCACAGCAGGCTGTCAGCTCTGCCTCCTCGGGGCCCCAGGTCATTTCTACAACCCTCCACCCCACCACATCCCCCCAGGCCCAGGGGCCACTCTTAACAAGCCCCCACTCCCCAGCCCCTCCAAATGGCAGCCTTCACTGCAGACACCAGTGTCACCCTCCTCCCCCGTCACCCGAACACAGCTAACTGCCTGGCCCGACTCCTGGAGCTGGGCCTCTTCAGGCCTGCAGACCAGAGGCCCACGCCAGCCCGCCCCTACCCGCTTAGGATGCCCCAGTTCTCCTCAGTGGAGCCCGATCCCCGTCATACAGGCCAGTTCCATGGCCCTGTGCATGGAACCTCCTCCCGGTCTCCCCTGCAACCCCCTCTCCCACCTCTGGAGTCACCCTATCTCAGGCCCCGGCCCTCTGGCTATCTCCTGAGGCCACCCCTTCCCTCCTTGTCTCTGAGAGGTGCCCCCTCCCCACGGAGAGCAACACACACACACACACACACACACACACACACACGCTTCATTCACTGCCAGGTGCTGGCATCTCAGTCAGTCCCAACGTGTGTCCTTCCCCACAGCATCCCCCAAATCTGGGTCTCGCTGGGCTCAGCCTGGCCCAGGAACTGCCCACATCCTTCTAATTCAGCAAATCTGCCCAGCGGATGACAGCACCCTCCAATTCTCTCCCACACTCACTCTTTTCCATCCCCAGATTAGACCCCAGGGTCCTCCTGGTAATGTAGGGTGTCCAGGGCCCCTGAGACCTCTCCTGCCCCCTTGTGTCTTAATGGCCTCCAACCCCTTCTAGCCACTGTCCCTAAAATGCAGGCTCATTGGAGACATCAGGTGCCTTCACATATCGGGGTGCCCCTGCCACCAACCTCCAGTCTCATATCTGCCCCCACGCGCTCCCCAATACTGGGGTCCCGCCCCCCCGTTTTCCCCACCCCCAGGCTCACACTCCGCAGCTCCTGAGTCCGATCCTTCATCCTGCGACGGCTCCTCCTCCTCCTCCTCCTCCTCCTCGTTCTCCTGCCTCTGCTTCTGCTCCCTGCCTCCTGCCTCGGTGCTGGAGTCCTGAGTCTGGGGGCGCCGGCGGGGGGGCGCCGAGGCCGCTGTAGGGGGGCCCGCGGGCGGGGGCGGGCTGAGGGCCGGGCAGGGGCAGGGGCCTGGGCCTGGCTCGGCTCTGCCGGGTATGCGGTGGCGATGCGGCTGCGGCACAGGCTTGGATGGAGGGATGCGGGAGCTGAAGCGCGGGGGAGGGGGGAGGAGGGAGGTAAGGAGGAAGGGAGGGAGGGGGGAACCGGGAGGGGGCGGGGAGCAGGGGGCATGCGCAGCGCCCGGGGCTGGGGGCGCCTGGGGGTTGTAGTCCGGGGAGGGGGACCCAGGAGGGAGGGAGACTGGAGAGGCCTAGAGGGGGGTGGGGAAGGGCAGAGCCACAGAAGGAGGGAGAGATGCGGAGAGACGGAGATGTGGCAGGCGGCACAGGGATGCTGCTGTGGGACGGGGGTGACGGTGGAATGGCAGAAAGAAGGGGTAAGGGAATGAATTAAGGGAATAGCCTGGGGAGAGGAGCTGTGGATCCCTTTACACCAGGAGATATAGATAGATTTTATAGTTTGTGTTTGGGAGCATCTGTGTGAATCTGTGCACGACCACCTCTGTGTGTGTGTCCCTGCGGGAGGCTCTCTGGACACTAGAAATAGCAAGAGTGACCCTCTAGGTGGCTTTTGTGATGCAAGGAATCGGCCAAGCCTAGCTGAGAAGGACATGGGGCTTGTTTTTTTGCACAGCCTTCCCCACTCTAAGTGTGAGAGTCCCCGGACAGTGTGGGTCACAGAGCTCTGCTTGTCTACCTCCAGGGACAGGGTGCTCACCACCTCCGGGGACCTCCTGGCCTATCTTTAGATGGCTCTGACTATCAAAACAAAACTTGTCCTTATTGGGAGAGGAGTTCTGGTCCCCCCGAGGGTCCATCCCTCTCCTTAATGCCTGCCTCACCTCTTCCCATCTCCACGTCTTAATGTCACATCAAGTCCTCTACCCCTGCAATGGGGCTTTGGCCTCTAACAGGCCTCGAACCTGCTTCTGCCAAGTTACCCAGTGACCTCCTCTATGCTGAATCCATGGACCACTTGCCAGGCCTTATCCTCCGTGATCATGATTGGAGGATATACGACACTGATGACCCCTCTCTTCTTGAAATCCTTCCCACCTTGGCTCCCACCTGCCTCCTGCCTCCCATGCCCTCCCCCTCCAAACTCTGGATGTTGTTTCCCAGCCTCCTTCCAGACCGCCCACCCCGCTTTCTTCCACATCCCCGCAGCAGCAGGGTTTCCGGGCCCCCCCGCCCCAGTTTCTCTTCTTTTTTTTTTTTTTTTTTTGCGGTACACGGGGCTCTCACTGTTGTGGCCTCTCCCGTTGCGGAGCACAGGCTCCGGACGCGCAGGCTCAGCAGCCATGGCTCACGGGCCCAGCTGCTCCACGGCATGTGGGATCTTCCCGGACTGGGGCACGAACCCGCGTACCCTGCATTGGCAGGCGGACTCTCAACCACTGCACCACCAGGGAAGCCCTCTCTTCTTTTTATACCCTGTCACCTCCCCAGGTTCAGCCGCGCCTACATGCCTGCAATATCCACATCTATACCTGCAAGCCAGGTCCTGCTCCTCAAGGGCAGTACCTGCTGTATGCCTGAGCACTGAGCTGAGCACCAAGAACAGAGACCAAAGATGCACTCAGAGACATGTGGATCCATAACTATCGTAAGCGAGGCCAGGGCTTTGACGCTGACCACAAAGACTGTGGTGGCCTCGCTTTCCCCCAAAGTGCTCTCCATCAAAGAGGGCATCTCCGTCCACCCAGTCACTCAAAGCACACAGAAAGCTGTCCTTGGCTCCCTCCCCCATCCAAAGAATGCTACCATGTTCCGAGCATCCACCAAGTCCCTGGTGCTCCACTGAGTAGCCCCCATAATCCTTCCAACCTCAGGACAGCTACTGCTATTATCCCAAGTGCCCAGATCAGGAAATAGGCTTGGAATGGTTAAATAACAGTTAGTAAAGGACAGGGCTGGGGCTCTTGCCTGCATTTTTTGATTACAAAGCTCATTCTCGTAAGACCACAAGGTTCCAGCCCCTCCCTCAACTGCCAAATCCAGACCTGTCTCCTGGGTCCCCTCCATCCCCACCACCCCTGGTCAGTCTAGGGGTGACTGACCTGGGCCATCAGAACAGCCTCCTTTTGGGGAATTCCCTGGCCATCCAGTGGTTGGTTAGGACTTGGCACTTTCACTGCCATGGCCCGGGGTTCAATCCCTGACTGGGGAACTAAGATTCTGCAAGCCGTGCGGCATGGCAAAGAAAGAAAGGAAAGGAAAGAAAGAAAAGAAAGAAAGGAAGGAAGGAAGGAAGGAAGGAAGGAGAGAGAGAGAGAGAAAGAACAGCCTCCTTTCTGGTCTTCCCACCTGCAGCCCTTTTCCTTCACATCCAGTTTTCTACCCAGGTGCTAGTGTGATTACCCCCCAAAGAAATGAGATAAAATCAGTCCCCTACCTCAACAAAGTCAACGCCCCACAACTTTCCGGATTACACTCAATCGCTGCTCTGGCATTTGGTCCCCATCACCTCATCTCTCCTACCACTTCCCTCCCTGTTCCATGGACCCCAGGCCTTAACGACACCAAGGAATCATGGACCCCAAACACCTTGGAGTCTTTTGCTGTGTCTTTTCCTCCACCCAGTACGCTGTTTCGTCCCTTCATTGATAGTCAGCCTTCTCATCCTTCAAGACCCAGTTCAAGCCTCTCCCGGCAGTCCAGGCTGACAGCCTCATGAGCCGTGGGCTGTGTCTGCTTCCACACTAGACTCATTTCTTTTTTTTTTTTGGCCACCCCACAACTTGTAGGATCTTACTTCCCCCACCAGGGATGGAACCCGTGCCCCCTGCAGTGGAGGCACGGAGTCCTAACCACTGGACTCCCATGGGAGTCCCATGGGGCTGACTCATTTCTGCTTCTCCCCAGCAGCTAACATGAGGTGAGGCACAAAGTAGACATTCACTAAAAACCTGAATGAAGAGATGAATGACTGAATGGCATATTCCCTCACACCTTTATCCCAGCATAAAGACAAAGAAGGGGGCTTCCCTGGTGGCGCAGTGGTTGAGAGTCCACCTGCCGATGCAAGGGACACGAGTTCGTGCCCCGGTCCGGGAAGATCCTACATGCCGCGGAGTGGCTGGGCCCGTGATCCATGGCCGCTGAGCCTGTGCATCCAGAGCCTGGGAGAGGCCTCCCTCCACAACGGGAGAGGCCACAACAGTGAGAGGCCCGCGTACCGCAAAAAAAAAAAAAAGACAAAGAAAATAAGTTCCATGAAAGCAGGGATTTTCTAAAAATTGAAATATAATTGATGTACAGTATAAGTTACGGGTGTACACTATAGAGATTCACAATTTTTAAAGATTATACTCCATTTGTAGTCATTATATAATATTGGCCATATTCCCTATGTTGTACAATATATCCTCATAGCTTAGTCATTTTATACATAATAGTTTGTACCTCTTAATCCCCTACCCCTATATTGTCCCTCCCCCTCCCTCTCCCCACTGGTAACCACTAGTTTGTTCTCTATAACTGTGAGTCTGCTTCTTTTTTGTTATATTCACTAGTTTGTTGTATTTTCCAGATTCTACATATAAGTGATATATACAGTATTTGTCTTCCTCTGCCCGACTTATTTCACTTAGCATAATACCCTCCAAGTCCATCCATATTGTTGCAAATGACAAAATTTCATTATTTTTTATGGCTGAGTAGTATTCCGGTGTGTGTGTATGTGTGTGTGTGTGTGTGTGTGTGTGTGTGTGTGTGTACCACATATTCTTTATCCACTCATTTGTTGATGGACACTTAGGTTGCTTCCATATCTTGGTAATTGTAAACAATGCTGCTGTGAACATTGGGGTGCAATTATCTTTTTGAATTAGTTTTTTTAATTGTTGTTGTTTGGAAATATACCAAGGAGTGGAATTGATGGGTCATATGGTAGTTCTATTTTTAGTTTTTTGAGAAACCTCCATACTGTTTTCTGTAGTGGCTGCAGCAATTTACATTCTCACCAACAGTGTACAAGGGTTCCCTTTTCTCCTCGCCAATATTTGCTATCGGTGTTCTTTTTGATGATAGCCATTCTGACAGGTGTGAGGTGATATCTCATGATGGTTTTGATTTGCGTTTCCCTGATGATAGTGATGTTGAACATCTTTTTTATGTGCCTGTTGGCAATCTGTATATCCTGTTTGGAGAAGTGTTTATTCAGGTCTTCAAGGCAGGGGTTTTTGCTTGTTTTGTCCATTGCTGGTTCTCCAGTGGCACTATGGCACCTGGCACATAGTAGGTGCTCAATAAATATTAGTTAAATAAAAAAAACAGAAAAAAGTAAATATTCATTAAATGAGTGAATGTGTGAAAGATGCACAATTCAAATCTGGCTGCGGCTCTAAGGACACATATAAGCACACACGATGTGATGACAATGGTAATCCGTCTCACGGGTCAGTGATTTTGAGCTCAATACATCCATGCTCACTTAAAGTCCACTCAGTAACAATGTGAGGTGGGTTGCCTGGACCACACACCAGCCTCCTATGCAGTCTCCCTGACTGAGTGGCCTTTCTAGAGCATCAATATCACCAGGCCAGCCCCTGCTCAGAAAACCTCTCCAGTTTCCCGTTGCTGATGAGATAAAGCGCAGACTTTCTCACCTGACTTCCCACTTTAGCACGTACCACCATTCCCCATGTACCTGATTCTGGTCCCAAGGTAGTTCCTGCGTCTCCCCACCTCCATGCCTTTCTTCATGTTGTTCCTGACCCTTGGAATACCTTTCCCTCTTCCATCTCCAAGTCCAACTCCTACTCTTCCTTTCAAGGTGAGCTGCAGGAGTCTTTCTTGACCCTCCCGAAGCTGGAGGGCAAGCCTGTTACATATACAGATGACCAGGTCTCTTCCTTGGAAATTCTGAGTCAGTAGATCTGGGTTTTTAGCAATTCTTATTTTCAGTCAAGTTTGGGAACCACAGTATATCAGATAGGCAAGGCTAAGGCTAGG